GACAAAAGACAGACGGGGCGCCAAGACAGGCAGACCAGGGGGGGCGAGACAGCGCCGACACCCAGCACGGCGGGCAGACAGGCAGGCAGGGCAGCCAGACAAGAAGGCAGGAGGGAAAGAAGGAAGGGGAGGAAGGGGGTGGCACACAGGAGGGAGGGGCGAGGTCGGGGGGGCGGAAGTGTCTCGGAAGTGTCTCGGAAGTGTCTCGGCGCCTCCTCGAACGAGCCCGTCAGCGGGAGGAACCGTTCGTGGAACTCTCCCTCGCCAAAGTAGGCCTGTGCGGCGGGGCGGAGAGGCGAGGGGTGTGTGGAGGGGAGAGGCGAGGAGGAGCGGCGCGAGGAGGGCAGGGAGGGAGGCAGGCGGAGAGGGAGGCGGAGGAAGGCAGGCGGGAGGCAACAGAGGAGGGCGTGGAGGAGTCTGGCCTTGAGTCGGGGAGCGTCGTCGCGGGCGGGGTCGATGGTGATGAAGACGGGCAGCACCCGCTGCCCCTTCCCGTCCAGGCTCCGCAGCACCGCCGTCAGCTTGTCCATCTCCTGCGGGCAGATGTCGGGGCACTTTGTGAAGCCAAAGTACAGCAGCACCCACTGCCCCTGCAGCTGCTCCGAGGTGACGCGCTGGCCGTCGACGCCGACCAGCGACCACGGCCCGCCCAGGTCGGGCCGCCCCGCCGCCCGCTGCCGATGAAGCTGCCGCTGGTACTGCCACTCGTAGCCGGCATACAGCACGCCAAGCGTCGCCGCCGCCGAGAGCCACGTGACCGGGCTTCGCATGGCTCGGCGCGCGGCGCTCGCGCTGGGCGAGGGCGCACTCGGCCCGGCGGCGCTGCTCAGCAGCCGAAAGGCCGCCAGCGGCGGCCGACACAGCCTGAGCGAGCGGGCGCGAAGCATACGTCGAAGTTCCCGGAAACTAAAAAGAATTCTTTTTTCTGCAGTGATCAAATGATGTGCGTGTGAGTGTTAGATTTGTTCGGTATTGATCTCCCGCTAACGGATCTTAAAACCACCTGAACCTCTCTTTAAGGTGTTGCTAAAAATCTCTATAGAGTGGCCAGTGCGTCCAACTGGCGCGCTCCGCGCGCTGTCTGCTAATGTCTAGCCACGCGCTCCGCGCGCTGTGTAATCCAGCGCGTAGTCAGGGACGCTCACGGTGCCGTCGGCCCAATAGGGGTGTCTTCAACCGATGTCCCTCAGTGAGAATATCAGGCTGCCTCGCAGCGGGCGCCGGCCCCGGTCGCCGAGCACTCACCCGTCGCTGCGGTGGTGTAGCACCGGCTCGCCGTCCCCGGGCACTCGCACTTCTCGGCAGCGCCGCAGTTACACTTTGAGGAGACGCCGGTGCACTTGATCTGGGTGTAGCTGCCCGATCCGTCGAAGGTCATCGTCGCGCCAATCGCGCTGTTCATCTGGATGTGCGACCAATCGCCGACGGCGCTGCCCTCGATGCACTGGGCCCCCGCGCCGAGGCAGGTGGGGCAGCCGTTGCCCACGCAGCGGAAGGCCTCTCCTGGCTTGTAGTAGCACTGGGCCTTTGACCCACTGCAGATGACCTGCTCACGGGGGAGAGAGGCTCACGAGAAGCTTGGGGCGGAGGCGCAGGGAAGTGCCGTGTGTCAACGGATGTATAATCTTGTTGCCGGATTACGCCGCCGTCACCTTCTCAGCGTCCATGATGGCGCAAATCGCGTTCGACCCCTGGCACCACATCTCTTTGCCCGCGGAGCCGTCCATAACCCTGTTGTTGAACGACGGCTCGAACCACCAATCCGCGTCGCAGACCTCGTTGCTGTTCTGACAATAAATCTTTGTGGCGCGCACGGGGGGCGGCGGCGGTGCAAGCTGAGGCGCGTGTGCTAAATCTAGGCCGCACGTCGTGGCACTTGAAGGTAACCTACCTACCCACATGGGAGCCGGAACCCTCAAACGTGCCTTTGTTTGGGCGTCCGAACGGAGGTCAGCTCAGCGTGGGGGTGTGTGTCAGCACGGCAAGCGGCCTTACTGTCACCGCTTACTCCTCATCACCTCAAAACACAAATTACGTGTGAGTGTTAGAGTTGTTTGGTATTGCTAAAAATCTCTCTCTCACCTCAATGTCAACATACATTGATGGGAAGGCGAAACACAGTCCGACCAACGACTGGGACACCAACGCGGTATGGGTGGACGCTAGACGGGCGATGACGGTCACACAGGAGCGACACACAGAACCACAATTGATTGATTGATGGGAAGGCGAAACACAGTCCGACCAACGACTGGGACACCAACGCGGTATGGGTGGACGCTAGACAAGACACTCATCTGTGCCGCCCCTCCCTATCGTCCGGGGAGCCAGAACCCAGGCTGTGTGTGCATTGGGCACAGGCAGTCACCGTCGTCGGGGTGGTCAAAACACACAATGCCGTGGTACCCACCTCTCGCTCAGCAGCCCGCGCCAAGCAGCGGCGCCGCACTCCTAGTTCCTTCAATCACTTGGGACCGCCCGAACGGGCAGCGAGGCTCATGCCGAACGCAGGGCGGTGGCTCTGGAACGTTTGAGGAGGCGTCGTGGCTCAAGACTGAGGCTGACTGCAAAGTAAATTGCTAGTAGAGCGGCCACACCACCCCACACCACCCTCAGCACCGTCCTCGCCCGTGCATCATGGCGGCGACTAGGCCGGCACTGGAAGCATACGACGACACAAAGAGCAGCGCACTGTTTCCGCCGATCGGATGTGCACACCCGAATACCACACGCCGACCTCTTTGGGAGGAGAGAGCGCTTCCCTCTGCCACCGCAGGCGCGCTGCGCGGGAGAGCACCACTGCACCGCGGTCGAGTTCGCTCTCATCGGCGGCTACACGCGCTGCGAGATCCACCGGCTGCCGGTGAGTCACACCTTTCCCCTGCCCGGGTGAGACCTAGCCGAGACGCAGCCGAGACAGCCGAGACAGCCGAGACAGCCGAGACAGCCGAGAGGCAGCCGAGAGGCAGCCGAGAGGCAGCCGAGACAGCTGAGAGACAGCCGAGACGCAGCCGAGATACAGCCGAGAGGCAGCCGAGATACAGCCGAGAGGCAGCCGAGAGGCAGCCGAGAGGCTGCCGAGATGCAGCCGAGATGCAGCCGAGGTGCAGCCGAGATGCAGCTGAGATACAGCCGAGGGAGGGAGCGACTTGAACTCAGAGGAGTTGGCACTCTTGCCTTTGTCGAGCCTTCCCTGCGACCTCCCCATAGGTTCGACTGCTTCGTCAAGGGCTCCGGCCGGCGCCAGAGAGGGTCTGCTGGCGGCGGCGCTATGGCAGCGGTAGCGGTAGCGGTGGCACCGCCGCCGCCACCGCCAACGCTGCTGCCGCCGCTGCTGGCACCGCCGCTGCCGCAGCCACGGGCCGGCACCGCACCGCTCCTCCCCACTCCGGCCAAGGCGAGCGCGGCCGAGGTGGCCGGCTTCATGCTACCGGAGGGGCAGGCTGCCACGCCGGCTGCACCTCGGCTGCACCTCGGCTGCACCTCGGCTGCACTTCGGCTGCACCTCGGCTGCACCTCGGCTGCACCTCGGCTGCACCTCGGCTGCACCTCGGCTGCACCTCGGCTGCACCTCGGCTGCACCTCGGCTGCACCTCGGCTGCACCTCGGCGGATCTGCAGGTGGGCTCGTGCCGCGTGGCGGGGGGAGGGACCGGTACCTTCGAGGAGGCGCCGCAGCTGCGGAGCGAGGCTGCGTGCAAGGCTCGCTGTGCTGCGGAGGAGAGCTGCACCGCCGTCGAGTTTGCGAGCGTCGGCGCCGGCTACCGCCGCTGCGAGCTCCACCGCGACCAAATCTCGCACACCCAGCCCGCCCACGGCTACACCTGCT